GTAATTTGGTTAAATTTAATGTAAAATTTAATTATAAAAATACGACAATAATTTTGATTACAATACAATAATACTTTAGTGATACATACGTGAACAGGGAAAGCAATACATTAGTTGATCTTTATTTGTATATTTTTTTAATTTTATGCCATGTTGCTATTCAAAGATACTTAATTGCTTTTTTTATTGAATGATGATATCGAAATAGATTTTATGTCAATTAAAAGTGTCATCAAATATTTCGTAACCATCTTGGAAACTAGAAATGCTCGTAAAATATTGTGGAATATCGAAGTGTCAAGTTCGCTATGAGTTTAGAGTAACATTGATAAATATTTTTTTCGGATATGTAAACAACACCTTGTACAATTTTGTATGTCGCTACATAGAAGAGAAAAAATGTTGTTTATGACAGCTCCTGAGATTTATTTTTCATTCAATGATTTTTTATACAACAGATATGTTATCTTCATAGTAACTGACTCTTCAAATCTGATCGCGCCATGTATATCTACATACCTACCGATATAGTGCACACACATGTTGACAAGTAGCATTAATGAAAAGTACAAAAGATGGGATAAGCGCGTGAGTAAAAAAGATAGCTATAATTGGAACGATTGCACTTGTTATATTATTATTGCATTTGCTTAGGTGCGACTAAAGACGAAACGTCCCAATTGGCCTGTTTTCGAGTCTTCACTTGACGTGCGCTCGAAACATATCTGCTTCTTTTTACATATAAAATATCATTGTTTACAATAGTTTTAATATAGATACAATATGATAGAAAGTGTCCTAATATATTTCTTGCTGTAACAAAACAATGAAACTTTGAAAGCAAACAGGCGATTTGGATGTACAAATTAAAACGTCTGATATAAGTATTAAATATGTTGCTAAAAGAATGAAGGAAAAAAACGTTGTTTGGAAAAGACTGCGTTAAATAATGACGCAAAAAAGCACTTTTACATTTACTATTCTCATGTTATATATAATAAAGTATAATTAGTAGCTAACTGTGCAACTTGTGCGCTTTCCGTATTCTCAAGAGACCCACTATCTTATCTAGATCGCAGTTGATTAGAAAATTCAGACGTTTACATAATAATATGTTAAGGAAAACAGAATTGAAACAGTTTATACTAAAGTCATTTATATTTGAAGTAAGAAAATTCGTACTTATCTCAACATGTTTCAGTGTTATTAGCTAAAATTCTCATGTCGAAATAGTTTCAATAAAATGAATTCAAAATATTCTATTCCAATACGGCTCTAGCTGGAAGATCAGGAGCTGCCAAAACTCTTATCTACTCAGTCAATAGGGATTTAAGACATTTAAAATACAATACACGTTTATAAGTATCTACAATAAGTTTTAAATTGAAGCAGTAGAGAAAACGGGCTGAGACGTGTTAATATTTTGGGAAAATCCAAACGATATTCATGTTTTTTTTTTTTTTTTCTACCTAAACTGGTAGCCTGGGGCGGCTATTCCAGCGTAACCGTAACTAGTAGGTGAGCTCACGGGGCTCAAACCTGACGACGATGCTAACACGAACCCTAGCAAGAGTCGTGCTTCGCAGAATCTACCACCGGATCGGAATCGCGACCCACTGAGAAGATCCGGCGAGAAACTCAGTGGGCTGTGTCTGAGTGTAATATTCTATGAGTGCTATTGTTTCGCACTCGACAATTAATATTCCAGTCATCGAAAATTAATAAAGCGTTTGCTTGATGAATTAATGAAAGATACGATATTGTTTGCTGGTATTATTATAATGGAATTCATGCTTGTAGAATAAGGTTTATTTTATTTATCGAGCTCATTCTGATTACATCGCAGTATCTGTACGTATTTAGTTTAAAAATTATCACCGAACAAAAGAACAAAGTTAATGACTGTTTGTTGGATATGTAGATATGAGAATTAATTTCTTTCACTCTATATCAGATCAATTTGTGATTTTTATTACAGTTTCTGTGTATTGATGTTCATGTTCATTTCATGATGTGTCCTTTCTTAAAACTCTCCCATTTTAGCTGGTGACAAAGTTAAAATGAATTGCAATAACTGAGTCTATAGGGTAAGTATAATTAAAAGCCACAAAATTATCAATATTTGTTTACTTTCTGTCGTTCGTGATTTAAGGCAGAATTATCCTAAACAAATTTTTTGTATTGTCCCCATTCTGAACTATTTTGCTGTCCCATGAAAAGGTTTTTTGATTTTTTTGTTAGTAGCCGCAAGATTTTAATGAGGCACACAAACATTCAAATAGTGAAGAGTTCACACGAATGGAATTTAATAGTTAAATACAATACAAAAGTGAGGCATGTCGCCTGAATTACTCGTTTTGTTATTATCTGAAAAATAAAATCACAAGGTACAAACACACCTTCTGATACATTTACTGAAATTACGAAATGTTGCTTTGTTAAAATACTCATAAAATTCACATTCCGTATTGTGTATTTATAAAATTCAACTTCGGTATTTTTTTATTAGATTTTTGTCAAATTGGAACGTTCGGTTTCAAATGTGCTCACTCAACACTAATGGTTTCAAGCAACCTTTGATTGCGACAACATATTCCCTTTACGAGTATAATTCTCCTTATATATATTTTTGTTGGGAATGGTTAATTTATAAAATTTCAATAACTGACTTAAGAAGCAAGCATATCTGAGTATTTTTATTTTTTATTGCTTAGATGTGTGGACGAGCTCACAGCCCACCTGGTGTTAAGTGGTTACTGGAGCCCATAGACATCTACAACGTAAATGCGCCACCCACCTTGAGAAATAAGTTTTAAAGTCTCAGTACAGTTACAACGGCTGCCCTGCCCTTCAAACCGAATTATTATTAGATGTATTTCCAATTATTTATTAGTAATTTTGAGTAATGGGATGTCGGAAAATAGCATTACAATTATCGCCGAAATTGGTGTCGCATTATGTGGCGTAATCGCTTCATTATTATTCATTAATCTGTATTAAAATATCACCCGTCATGATATCCTATCATTTAATTTGTGAATGTTACCACAACCTTTTATGACACTCGATAAGAGTAAAGGCTTTTTTTTTTAAATAAATAGCTGCTTGCATTCCATACGTTACGCTATTTTTTTATTTCGAAAATATAGGTATTATATATTTGTGTATGGGTGACGCGCTATACAAAGTAAAATTCTAATGTGTGAGTGATAATGCAGTCATAGACACAGCTGCCGCGTATTAACATACATAAAAACAATCTACATCAATTAATTTAGTTATTGTAATATATGAATATTTAAAAAAAAACTAATATTAATTTTTTTTTATCTAATATTTAAAAAAAAAAGACATGCCCGCTGAGTTTCTTGCCAATTCTTCTAAGGACGGAGGCTAGTTCTTGTAACTTGGCGGTAGTTCTTTTGACGTTCAACAGGTATGTACTTTCATTTATGTTGAATAATTTTTTTTTGATTTGATTTGATATCCTTCCTAAAATGCAAGAACATGACACACATGTTCCTATAACGGTTTATAGTATAAACGAGAATTTCCAAAGCATATTTGACGTAGCTATTTCATAATTTATTTGTAGCTCATTATTAGCTTGCAAGTTCGAAATTTAAATGTTTACGACACTTCACAACCGCATTATCGGCACGTAACGTGTTTCTACCGCACGTGTATCGGTTTTATATATAAGTGGAGTTGACAGTTTGACTAATGAGGCATAGAGTTGCACGAAAGGCCCTTACCGGATAATGACGAGCCACAAACAAGTATTAAACCTTTATTACCATCAAAATTCGTTTAGTAAAAGGCATTTCGGCGTACAGGTTAAATCAATTTGATGTACCGTAAAATAATATTGTTTCGTGTACAGGCAATGAGATTGTAAAATATTTACTTCAATGTTTATCAGTTGTGTTCCATTTGGACATTGTATTTAAATAAATAAATCTGTAGGTACAACTTGAAGAATATGTTCTAGTCTTTCTCTCACGTTTTTTAAGTAACGAAGACAAACGAATACTTTTAAGCTAAATTAGAATTAGTTTTAAAATGAAAAAATAAATAATACAAATCTAGCTGACCCGGCAGACTTCGTACTGCTTCGATCGATAAATAAAAGACCTAAACTTTTGTATAAAATAACCTTAAAAGTAGCTTAAAACAAACACAAGGAATCCATCCGACGGAGGACACATAAAAGGAAAAACAAAATTGTTATTTTTATTTAATTCCGAGCATTTTCATATTTATTTACCTTTTAAACCTTCTCTGGACTTCCACAAATAATTCAAGACCAAAATCAGCCAAATCGGTCCAGCCGTTCTCGAGTTTTAGCGAGACTAACGAACAGCAATTCATTTTTATATATAACTACTAGTTGACCCGGCAAACGTTGTCTTGCCATATATAAGATTTCTAGAGAATTTCTAGTGTAGAAAAAAAATGACTAACTTATTGGAAGTGTATAAGGATGTGGAATATGAGTGAAAAAGGCCTGGAGCGCTGTGAACGATGAGGGAATGTTGTTTAAAAATAACAAAACACCAAACATTAATTGTTTTAATTTATTAANCGTGCTGTTTACTGGGTCAGAAGTGACACCTGTAGACATCTGGCGGGGATAACTAATTAAATGACGATTGATCAGTTTTCGACCGGAGAGGAAAAATGATGAAATTACTAAAATGGCTATTAAAAAATAAGGGTTGATCGTAGAAGAGTGAAAATTGAGGATTGTATGTATTTTTGTATGTTGTATCATAAAAAAATAGAAATTAAAAATTTTGTCTAAAAAATAAATAAAAAATTTAGGGGTGGACTACCCCTAACATTTAGGGGGATGAAAAATAGATGCTGGCCGATTCTCATAGATACCGGATAAGCACAAAAAAATTCATCAAAATCGGTCAAGCCGTTTCGGAGGAGTATGGCAACGAAAACTGTGACACGAGAATTTTATATATTAGATATAGGTATAGAAGAAGAAGATAAGTAAACTTATTTTCGTACATATTTTAATAATATTATGTCTTTTGCATACCCGTTTCGTCAACTGCTTCTTACACAAACGCTAAAGGGTCATTAGTTTTGGCCGGGTCGATTTAGTTGGTGAGCGGGTGCCATTGTTTGACTTGTTCCATCGGCGATGCCAGCGCAGAGTTCCAATGTTGGAGGGCTCGGCCGCGAGCGAACATGTACGAGCCTAGGACAAACTTACCGAGAAGGCGGTCTGGAACAAAGGTAGCATTATCTATATTTTTATTATTAATACGTGAAGCAAAAACTTTGTACTACACTGCTTTAGAAAATAAACAGTTTTTTTCATTTCCTGAACATTTTACATTTTCAGAGATGTGCCCTTTTAGAAATTGCATATTCAATTGTATTAAACACATCGGACCGAAATCAAACCAAATGCGCGGCGCAGCGGTACTAGGGCAAAAATAGAATAGTGACTCAACATAGAATGCGTTCGTCAACACGAATTAATTATGTATTTCTATTGCAAAATTCAGTTCCTGCCGGTGGGATTTGACCTCGCACAGTGACCTCGTTCGATCCGATTACAGCGGGTGTCTCATCCTTAAGCCATGGCGAGCTTATACAGCTTGGTGAATCGTCACGTTTTAATAAAAAAAAATAGATAACGTAATTCAAATATAAACCAACAGTCGAACAGGGTATAGTGTTGAACGAAGCGCGTCTTCATCTTTTACATTCACTAATATTAACTTACTTAAGCGACAGGTATTTACGTTAAGCTTAGCACAGATTAATTTCTGCTTATATTAAGGTTAAATTATTCCTTTTCGGCTTCAAGACCGATTATCTGTGGCGATAAGTCAACATTACATAAATTATTTGTCGACTTTTTTGTAGGTACTTGAAAATAGTTCCATGAACTTTTAGCTTTTTTATTTGAGAAGAATATCAACCAAATATGTTTATGACCTGTCAACTAAAACCAATTGGCACTGTGCTAGAAAATCGTTCTCAAACTTCCTTCGATTGAACTTTCGTTTATGTAATTGAAGGTCAAAAATATGTTTTATTTCAGCCGTGAAGCAGTAATGCGTTTCGGTTTGAAGGGCGGGGCAGCCGTTGTAACTATACTGAGACCTTAGAACTTATATCTCAAGGTGGGTGGCGCATTTACGTTGTAGATTGGGTTCCAGTAACCACTTAACACCAGGCGGGTTTTAAGATCGTACACCCATCTAAGCAATAAAAAAAAATAGCCTTAGCAAAACAATACTTGTTTACAAGAAACAAAATGGTTCATCAGTTTTCGGTCCTCAAAAACAAAATTACTTCCTCGCGTTTGTTTTTGTTCAAAGAAAATAACAGGATATTACAAAACCTTGCACCGATACAAAGAGCAGACGATGCTTACGGATGTTTATCGTCCAATTCTCGTAATTGGCACAAGGTAAGGAGACCTGTAATGGTTGCTAAAGTGCTGCTTTACGTATTGTTCTACAAGAGTTTCAACCAAAATTGGGAAACAAAAGCATACTCTATTGCTTTAAATCAAAATGGGATTTGATCGAGTTTTAAGCCTAATGAATAAAAGAATAATTAATAAATAAAGCCCGCTGGTGGTATGTTAAATACAGCTTTGTGACCGAATGTTACCCACACTCCACCATTTTATTTGAAAGGATATGCCATTCATGTTTACTGGATTCAGATTATTTACACCGAGCGGGAGTTCGTGTCCCTCGAAAAGTAAAATTAATTCATTTCAAATTTGAACTAAGAGCATACAGAATTAAAAGCGATTTCCAATCGAAAATTTGGACCTAATCTTTTTTAACTTACTGCTTCTACTACTACTACTGCTACTACTACTACTACTTCTTAAAGTTTCCATTATTTCATTGTCCCTATTAGGATTCGTTTGGATCTTTGAGCCTAATTAAATTGAGACTTATGGTTATGATCCTAAACGTCAGATAATTTTAGGGTATAGCTATCATGATTTTGAATTGCTCATTCAGTAAAATTAAAAAGGTAGATGCAGTAGTAAAATCATTTCGCAAAAGTAGACTTTTAGTACTTAGAAATCGATTATTTTCCAGCCATCATGCTCGAATACAAATTAGAGTCATAATCGCAAAGGACATACGTAGGAAAAACCTCTAGCGATTTTCCTTACGAAGTTTGATTATATACTTATTCCGCCCTTATAAATCCTCGCGTTAAAACATGCAAATTAAAATAACGATTACTTTGAAAATTTCCAGCCTCAAGACTTGGAAGTTGATTAATCACCCGAAATACTTCCGCGTATAAAATGTTAATTTGTTAGCGTTTCCGGCTCGTTACTGAGATCCTAAGCGCTTTGGAAAGGTGAGCTGTATTTCGTTAATAAAAAATGAGACTTAATGTTGGACCGGAGTGCTGAGAATGTGTCAGAGCGTCTATTTTCGGTTTCTCACGAAATCTAGAAGTCGTTTATAGTAAATGCGAAAACCTATGCTATTTATTGAAGAGTACATCACTCAGGCTTATTTCTGTCACGAAGCAGACACGCATCCCAGTTTGAGGGGTGGGGTGATCTTATACTCGTACATTGCAATTGGTTTTGAAGTCATCATAGCTTAAAGGATAAGAGGTACGATGAACTCTATTAAGCTGTGTGACAATACTGTTCGAATCCCACAGGTAAGTGCCAATTAAAACAGGAACTTTTTAAACTATATTGCATTATCAAACTATTATAAAAAACACTAGATTCTTGTCGTAATCTTAATGGTACTTCAGAAATATTAAACATATAAACTATTACAGTTTTTAATTGAAATAAAAAATGCATTTTTGTAAGAACTTCTCCAGAGCCTACACGACAAAACAGATTTAAAATTCAGTTATTAATTGCATTTAAATACGGCTTTTCTGCCTAAAAAAAAGAAGGCGGTACAAACCCCCATAGCACGGTTTGCTTACAGTGTCCAAGATTGAATCACCCGTTAGCTAGTGAAATAGGCGTAGATTCTAATGGTGATGGATAGTGGGAAAATAGTCATATTAGCTTGAAAAGGCCGGGGCTGTATACCTTGAATTATTTGAAAGTGCCAAATCATTCTAAACAGTAGTAATAACAAATTACATGTCATGTAGCTGTATTGTTGGAGCTGGGAACTTAAGCCGCACGTGAATTTTCTTTAAATCCGTTTTGATAATTTCACTAAGATCTAGTGAATAATAACAAGAGTAACAAAATAATTCATCTTGGACTTAAAAAAATTTTAGTTTTTTTTAACTACTCTAGAATTAGGGGTTCGTTTCTGAAATTTCGGAAATTGCCTTTAGCCCATCCAGTGCTGCGACATTTACGCAATAAAATACTGCAATTATCTCGAGCGAAGAGTTAAATACAGCAATTTCCGTTTCAATCTTTATCATGGATCTATTTTTATCGGAAACATTTTCCTTCGAAGCTATTATTTATTGATGTCCGCAAAAGCGGTTATTACCGCAGTTTTCTCTCGACTCTGAGATATTTTGAACACTCCTAAGCAGTAAATGTTTTGCCTCTAGAACGTTTTGGATTAATTCGTCCTGGTTTTTTGATCTAGTATCTAGATTCTAGTTACATATTCCCTTGTTCGTCCCGCAACCTATAGATTGTTAGAATGAGAGTATTATTTACCTTTTGCATAGACAGAGTGTGGTTGTAGGGCTTGTACGGTAACACTCGTGGTGTGAAGTTCGTCGGCTCGCAGCCGGAAGTGGAAGCACTCTGAGACTAAGCAGCTACCGTCATCAGTGACTTCCACAGCAGCCGTCCTCCTTGCTCGGACTCCGCGGCAAGCACGCTCTTGAGTTACACGTACTACCATCTCACGCTTGCTCGACGACGGATCCAGCTAGAGGGTAGTTTAATATAAGTAATTTCTACGTTAAATTTCATGGTGTGTATGGTGTGTGATACGTAGTTGTGTATAGCTATGCTGTGCCTCTGGCCTTACCGATATCCCGAGTACCGACAGCCAACCTCAATAAAGTCGACTGACTACGAAGTTCTGATCATTGTAAAAATGATAAAATTAATCGTCAATATTTCAATAGTATAAGTAGTATTACACTTTATTTCATAAATTTTTATGCGATGTTTTCTTATAAGTGTATAATAATAATAAGTATATTTGAAAAAAGAGCGATTTTTTTTTATTGCTTAGATTGGTGGACGATCTCACGGCCCATCTTGCGTTAATTGGTTACCGGAGCCCATTGACATGTTTCTACATAACCTTTGAACACGTAACGTTTGATTTTTATCACACGATGTTATTCCTTCACCGTGGAAGTCAATCGTGAACATTTGTTAAGTACGTATTTCATTAGAAAAATTGGTACATGCTAGCGGGATTCCAACACCGTTACATCGCAAGATACGAATGCATTGGACGTCTTATCCTTTAGGCCACGACGACTTCAAAATATACACAACAATTCATTGAATACGTCTCAATACTTCTGATCCGTGAGTCATTCCCTAAGAATAGACAGTTAGCAAAGCTATTTAACTTGTAAATTGGAATTGACTGGCGGTTACTCGAACGTACAATTCTAAAGTGGTATATGTGAAACTTCCTCGAATTTATTACAGTTGCTACGACAACAAAGATACTATAAACTATTTTAAAGAGTTCGAAATGCAAAATTAAGAGTTTTTCAGTAATTAGCTGGAGAATCGATAGCATTAATTCATTAAACGCAGATTTTCTATTTATAAGTAGCTTTACCTAAATAATTATTTTTAAATATTAAAAAAAATTAATTACATTATGTATAACACCATCGTTTTACGGGTTTATAAATACACTAGCGACCCGCCCTCGCTTCGCTTCGGAAACATTAAAACACACATGAAACCAAAAAAAAAGAATTAAAAAAAAAAAAAAAAAAAGTAGCCTATGTTCATCAGGGACAATGTCGGCTTCTAATGGAAAAAGAATTTTTCAAATCGGTCCAGTAGTTTCGGAGCCTATTCGAAACAAACAAACAAACAAATCTTTCCTCTTTATAATATTAGTATAGATTATAAGTTGCGAAAAACAAAAAAAAAAAAAAAAAACAAAAAAAAAAAAAAAAAAATTCAAATATTCATAACGGAAAACTCGTCTTCATTTTTAATACGTATTGTTTTTTCTAATGGACTCGTTTTCTTGAATTTTCCCTGAATTTTTCGTAGCAAATAAAACATTGAGCTATTTCGAATGAGAAAAAATTATACTTTAACTGTATATTTGTGAATTTTCGAATACAAGTTATATTACATACGTACTATATCGATATTATAATAATATGGGAAAATGTAGGTATTCAGTGAGACTGAAGCAAGAAAGATTTTCCTTAAAACATTGTATTTTCCAGACAAAGGTCCATTACGAATATGAAAATTTAATTAAGTTATACTCGTAATGTAAATTTAAATGTTTTTTGTGTTACTTTAATTATTTCGAGTTCCCAAATCTCATCCTTGGAAATAAATATAAATGGAAATGTTTTTTACTTTTTTTTATAATATTTCCATACATTTGGTGATCTTTAGGGTCTGGTGTACTTTTTTTTTCTGAAAGAAGGATTACTGTTGGCCTGTTCCAGTTTTACTAGGACACCAGGACTGTGGTTTAGTTGACTATCGCACCATAGTAGGGGCGTTTAGGAGCTATATTTTTAGACTTCTTACTTTACTATACTAGTATCGGGGTTAAAGCCCTATTGAAATTACTTGATGCCTACAGGTAACGTTAAGTAAATACATCTTAATAAATGTTCATCAATGAAGGTATTGGTTTCACTAGAATGAGACTAGTAACAATCAAATTACGTAAATACTTGTAGATGGCGAAATTCACTTGGTGCTTTTCGTGAGCTGTGGTAGTCATTTAAAAGCCTAATGCATGTGCTTTAACGACGGTTTCAATTGAGTCCAAAGATTAAGATGTGCTGGCTAGAGTGTTATTGATGTCTATGAGTGTCAGTAACTATTCAAAATTAGGTAGGCCGTATGTTAGTCTACCTTCTAGACCTTTCTAGTCTACTCTAGTAGGCAATAATACTTAGCAGCTTAACATGAAACTCGCGCGCGAATTCAACTCCACTATATTCATAATGGCCTACTTCATTAACTAAGAAAGTGTTTACGACAAGTGAAAGCTTTTCAGAACATGCAAACTTTCTAACTGAGTTTGAAGCATACAAAGTTTCGGAATTAGCATAAGTTTTCTCAGAATCTTGGTGCCGGTAAATTAAGATTTATTCGGCAATTGTACTACAAGCAATGGAAATGTGTTTTTTGATGGATTTTTTTTTTTTCCTACCTATGTTGATAGTTTTGAGAGGCTATTTCAGCGTAACCTTAACTAGTAGGTGAGCTCACGGGGCTTAAACCTGACGACGTTGCTAACACAAACCCTAGCAAGAGCCGTGCTTCGCAGAATTTACCACCATATCGGAAACGCGATCCACTGAGAAGATCCGGCCAGAATTACTGGTGGTAGGACCTCTTGTGAGTCCGCGCGGGTAGGTACCGCCCTGCCTATTTCTGCTGTGAAGCAGTAATGCGTTTCGATTTGAAGGGTGGGTAGATGTCTATGGGCTCCAGTAACCACTTAACACCAGGTGGGCTGTGAGCTCGTCCATCCACCTAAAAAAAAAAAGGGCGAGTCGACTGCTTTCCATTCTGTCCGCAGGATCGGGAATGTAGTTACCGGCGGCCACAATAAGAGGGTTCTCGTGTCGTGCCGCTTTCTCAAAATGTGGAAATCATATCAAAATTACTACGGAAAATTGTGCAATATATCTAAGTGACAAATATGAACTAAGGCTCTTGGTCATCATTTTATTACTTGATAGTATATATTAATACTTACTTTAAGCCCTCGCGCTTCGATGACGGTGACTGTGAGTCGATGAAGATTTTCATTGTATAGCAAAGACACCAGGATCTCACCAAGATCTGACGTTGGTTCTTGCAAGTCCTGCGCAACAGCAAAGTTGAAGTTATCACTCAATTATTGCTCCTTAAATTTAGCAGATCTAGATCTGGCTACTTTTGTATTCGAAAAATATTAATAAATAAATAACATCAGTAAAATTGTTATTTGGAGTTTCATATGACTTGTTATTAAAGTCGTCATATTAAAAATTATGGATTGCGTTGCGACCGCGCGAAAACGTTCCAGCCCGCATGGTCGTGTATGTAATGCATCGAAATTATGAAAAATGAGTTTCTATGTGATGTAGGTCACACGATTTAATGAATGTAAAAGGAATTTACATATTGACCTTTTCGATATCAAGCTTGTAGAGTTGTGGTTCTTCGTCGGGTGTCACTCCGTCCAATTCGCTCAATGGGAGTATGATGTGTCCAATCAGCTGCTTTCCCTTCCCGACCCTACCCACATCAACTACTGACAGCTTCAAGGTGAGAGCGTCAATTTTGCCTGGCGGTATCTAAAACATAGACAATAGTCCCGTTTCTCCTCTAAGCTTCATTTGCTTTGAGACAGTTGATAAATAATTTATACACTACCTATGTAAATTAACTTTGCAATTCGTTAAGACTGGCGAGCTCAAGATTCGCTAATTGCAAGGGGTTAGTGAAGCTAATGGAATATGACGCTTAAGGTATAGCTAAGGTAAAGTTAAGGTAATATAAGGTTTTTTTATTTATTGCTTAGATGGGTGGACGAGCTCACAGCCCACCTGGTGTTAAGTCGTTACTGGAGCCCATAGACATCTACAACGTAAATGCGTCACCCACCTTGAGAAATAAGTTCTAAGGTCTCAGTATAGTTACAACGGCAGTGCCCTACCCTTCAAACCGAAACGCATTACTGCTTCACGACAAAAATAGGCAGGGCGGTGGTACCTACCCGTGCGGACTCAAGAAGTCCTACAACCAGTATTAAGCTAATATCTCCATTTACATCGTAACGCGTATTTTTTTTTACTGCAGGAATACTTTTTGATATTGCTTTTATGGATGGTCCAGTTAAGGGCCTCCATAGTGTTTAGTAGTTATAGATAGTAGCCTATAGAAATCTGCAATGTAAATGCAGTCACCCACCCTGAAACATAAGTTCCAAGGTCTTAGTTTTTACAGTACAACGGCTGCCCCATCCTCCAAACCGAAGTTCATTACTGCTTCACGGCAGAAATAGGCAGGGTGGTGGTACCTTCCCGTGCGAGTACATAACACGTCTTAAGACCTTTTAAAATCTTAATGACAAACAGAGGTAGTACATAAAGAATAAGTATCCTTTAATAAATAATTTTGCGGTAGGCAGCGGCTTTGTCGTCGGCAAAATCAGGAGATTGGGCCTCGACGTGGCGCTCAGTAAATCCGAGGCCATGTGGTTTCACAGGCCCCGGAGAGTGCCACCTGTCGATGCCCATATTGTGGTTGGAGGCGTCCGTATCGGGGTCGGGGTGCAGCTGAAGTACCTCGGCCTCATTCTGGACAGTCGTTGGACCTTCCGTGCTCACTTTCAGAACCTGGTCCCTCGTTTGTTGGGGGTGGCCGGCGCGTTAAGCCGGCTTCTGCCCAACATCGGGGGGCCTGACCAGGTGACGCGCCGTCTCTATACAGGAGTGGTGCGATCAATGGCCCTATACGGGGCGCCCGTGTGGGGCCAGTCCCTGGCCATGGGGGTGGCGAAGCTGCAACAGCCGCAACGCACCATTGCGGTCAGGGTCATTCGTGGTTATCACACCATCTCCTTCGAGGCGGCGTGTGTACTGGCTGGGACGCCGCCTTGGGTTCTGGAAGCGAAGGCGCTCGCCGCTGACTATCAGTGGCGGGCTGACCTTCGTGCCCGGGGCGTGGCGCGTCCCAGCCTCAGTGTGGTCAGAGCGCGGAGGGCCCAATCTCGGCGGTCCGTGCTGGAGTCATGGTCCAGGCGGCTGGCCGATCCTTCGGCTGGTCGCTGGACCGTCGAGGCGATTCGCCCAGTCCTTGTGGATTGGCTGAATCGTGACAGAGGACGCCTCACTTTCCGGCTCACGCAGGTGCTCACTGGGCATGGTTGCTTCGGTGAGTTCCTGCACCGGATCGGAGCCGAGCCGACGGCAGAGTGCCACCATTGTGGTTGCGACTTGGACACGGCAGAGCATACGCTCGTCGCCTGCCCCGCATGGGAGGGGTGGCGCCGTGTCCTCGTCGCAAAAATAGGAAACGACTTGTCGTTGCCGAGTGTTGTGGCATCGATGCTCGGCGACGACGAGTCGTGGAAGGCGATGCTCGACTTCTGCGAGTGCACCATCTCGCAGAAGGAGGCGGCGGGGCGCGTTAGAGACGAGCAAGCCCGCTGCCGTCGAGCGGGGGCCAGGGAGGCGGATCTCGCCCAAGCCCTGGCCCTCTAAGTGTTTCAGGTCCCCCTCATATGTCGGTCTGGGGACCGGCGAGGGGGATCTAAGAAGACGTCGTGCAAGCTGCTCTGCACGAGTTTTACGCAAGAGCATCCGGCTGATGGAAGGCCGACTATCCTCGACCCACGCTGGTTCTGACCCAGCGGGGTATTCCGTAGGATAGCTCACTCTAACCGGCGCCATCTAGGCGGGCTCCGGATAGCCTGCCGACCGAGAGGGCTGGTGGTCGTGGCGCCGACGACCGCCAGTCCGGCGTCCCGAGGGGGAGGGTGATGGGAGAGATGTGCTCCGCACTAAACACTTCACTTTCCCCCCTTTGCCTTTTCATGAGTTCTGTCTCATGTGAGGTTTGGACGTTGGTTGTTGAGCGACAGGAGGTTTTAGTCGGTTCGACTCCGACATGCTCCGCCCGCCGTCCCCAGTGGAGGGCGGAAGTCCGGCGATTTCCTCCAGACCAAAAAAAAAAGGCAGCGGCTTTGCTCTGCCCTTGGCATTGCTGAAGTCCATGGGCGACGGTAACCACTCACCATCAGGTAGGCCGTATGCTCGTCTGCCTACAAAGGTAAAAAAAATATGTAAAGATGAATTTAACCGTATTTTTTACGTATTAAAAGACTATGAATACTTTTACAAGAGAATTTTGTCATATATACAAGATAGTTTAAATGCTAGGGTATAATCGATGCCTCCAATGAACACTACTCTAACTCAAAATTTTGAAATTTTGGTATTCCACGCAAATCGCTTCACTATGTTAAAAGTATTACAATTAATCATTATTGATGGGGTTCGAAGCAAGAGTAAATCAGCTAGTTACACAAAAAAAAAACATAAATATATCTGCAATAATAAATATTTTATCAGCTTTTTTCGTTTAAACGCTCCTCCTGTAAATCTACGAATTTGGAGTTAGCGTAGTGTTCATTGGAGGCATCATATATCATGATTGAAATTCAAATGAACAAGTTCTACAGTTAATATCACTACAGAATCTCGAGAGGAAACTTCAACGTATGTAACTTGATTGCGAACGTACATTACTCAAACACATTCAAAGTCATAAACTGAACAATTTTAAGGTTAGGTAAAAGGTTTATGAGCAAAAGTTATTGAGATTTACCTAATCCTCAACTTGGGAGTAACCTAACGTAGTACGTTCTGAAATCAGAACCCCTGGGATTTAAAACTGTACGTGGGTTCATTTGAAGATATTAGAGATGTATTTCGGAGTACATTGCGGAAGATTACATTACGTTTGATAGATGAGCTCTTCGTGAAATGCACCTATGAGTTTTCGTATTGTGATCAATCATGTGACATTCACGCCAAAATAAGTCATACAGGAATAATGTCCTCGAGCGTTTTGGAAAAAAAAAAACAGTTATTAGCTAAGCTAACGATAAGCAGTTGTAGTTTTAGTAAAATCATTCGGTCACAATTAGGTTAACTGTGAGCTGTGGTGCAAGACATTGGCTCTAACTCCTGGAACTGCTGACGTTCAAGAGTAACGATAACCACTCACCATCAAGTGAGCCGTATGCTCGCCAGCCTATAGGGGTAATTAAAAAAACCTATGTACAAGAAACAAAACTTTAAGCAAATGCTTGCAACCGGCTCATTTATATAGAAACAGTAAATAAGATATTCGATCTATTGTCAAGATAATAATGATTTCATTAACAATTAATATCCGTATCACGAATTAAGAGTAAATGAATGAGTAAATGAAGTTTACATTAAAGGCTCCACGCCATAGAATTTACTTCTGTGCTTTTTTGTTTGAGATATTACTGGTGGCTCGGAGGCCTTTCCAATTTTACCAGGAGAGGTGGACGAGCAAGGGCTCCGGCAAGAGGGGTGGGATTTGCTAACAGCTACCCGAGCGCTTCCAAAGGAGACCTAACAACGCAGGAGTAGCTGCTTCGCGAATGAATTTCGGATCGGAATCGCGACCCGCTCAGAAGATCCGGTGAGAAGGTCAATGGGCCGATGTGTAGGTTAGGTTGCACGTCGAACTCTTTGCCGAGTTCGACGAGTAGGGGTTACCGGGGTTTCTACTCCTAGTGTTAAGAGCTAAAGGCGTATAATGCATTACTCCTGTGCTATGTGTGCTGAAAAAGTTTACGAAACAAGAAATATACTTAATATAATTCACTGACACATTTATCACAAAGAAACTGAACCCAACCGGGAATTGAACGTAGATATAACACAATGTGACCCCAAAGAATTCTGCCAAGGAAGGCGATCGCAAAACGAATGATAAACGTTACGGATATTTTACAAATCCTTCAAACACAGAAGACCTTTGTTATTAAGCGTCGACTTACTTGGTAAACAAAAGTTTCGTCGTAGAAAGGATTGCAGGTTTTCTTCTTTTGTTTCGTTTGTAAAACACGCCTTTCGTCGGGCATCAGTTGAATCCTAAAAAACACAACTCGGTATAAAACTGGCTTGAAATGTTTGAAACGCCAATTTCGTTAGCTGTTTACGGCTCGCTTTTGTTCGGCTTTTTTTTTTCCAAGTGAATGTGTTTGAGTAGGCGTTTTGTGATCATAAAAGGAAACCTTTATAACGTTTTTGAAATGTGTTTCTTTGTCGTGTTTATTTAATTCAATTCTTTTCTACTCCCCGACGGCACAAATTAAGAAAACAATAAATTTTATTTGCAACTAGCTGACCCGGCAGACTTCGTAGTGCCACAATCGATAAATAAAAGACCTAAACTTTTTTATAAAATAAACTGAAAACAAACAAAAGGAATCCGTCCGACGAGGCACACATCAAAGGAAAAACAAAATTGTTATTTTTATTTAATTCCGAGCATTTTCATATTTATCTACACTTCCACAAATAATTCAAGACCAAGATTAGCCAAATTGGTCCAGTCGTTCTCGAGTTTTAGCGAGACTAACGAACAGCATTTCATTTTTATATATATAGAATAGATAGATAGATGACGCAAAACACGTCAATGTATCCATGTTCTGTTGGAATAACTTTCAAACTTTAATAAAGTGGGTGTTGACAAAATTATATTAATATCACTCACTTGATGTAAGGATCGCATGCGTTAGCCAGGGCCGGTGTACGTGAGGGCAGATGCTTAGCTTTTATGATATGCACTTGTAGTCTTTCAGTGGCTGCTTCGTACTTCAACGTGAACCACACGCGACCCTAGGGAAATTAAAATGTAAAGTATGTTAGGGCTGGACGTGCTTCGTATCATTGACACTTTACGATTTATGTGTGATTTATTGTCGTTCCGATCGGCATGCGTAGGTGCTGCTGTGCAATTAAGATGTCGCTTTATGTGTTTACGAAAGTTAACTTTCAAATACATCGACAGAATTAACGTTTCAAAAAAATATAAATAGAAAAACAGTTCTTGGATCCTCTTCTATATGGTTCAAAATTTCTTGAGAAGCTTTTTACTATGAAACTGTCATTGTTTTTAATCAGCGTACCAGAGTAGATTTATCATCTGTCATCTGTCATCTGTCTAAGTTATATTCCCGCGGTCATTTTTTCATGTACGAGTATCATCCGAGATTCTAGAGCTAATTTCTCTCCAAGGTGATTTCTGAGTTCTAGGTTTTTTTCTGAATTTCGTCCATAAAGTCAAGAATCGGTCTTCGAATTATTTAAATTTGAAGATGCGTTCTCTTTTTTCGTTGGGCCAATATTATGATTATAGATACCTACCTATATGTAATTGTATTTTTTTCTCAAGCAAAAAATAATAATAATTTTGGAATAGCTACTATTGCTAAAGTTATAAACAAATAAATTAATAATTACATTATTTAGAAAGTTTTCCTTTTCTCCAAACTTTTTTAAAGGACTAAAGTTGTAAATTTTAATAAGACTGTAATGAAGCATAATAATTAATTGTAATGAGAAAAATAAACTCAAAATAAGATAAATTTTGTTGTGCTTAATTTGACCAAAAGCTATTCAAGTAATGAAGACTCAAAATAACTTGTGATGTATCACATTAAACAGGAGTTATTTTCCGACAGAACTTAATCTATACTAATATTATAAAGAGGAAAGATTTGTTTGTTTGTTTGTTTCGAATAGGCTCCGGAACTACTGGACCGATTTGAAAAATTATTTTTCCATTAGAAGCCGATATTGTCCCTGATGAACATAGGCTACATTTTTTTTTTTTTTTTTTTTTGGTTCATGTGTGTTTTAACATTTCCGAAGCGAAGCGAGGGCGGGTCGCTAGTTTCATTAATAAATGAGTAACGTGACGAGTAGAATTGTTTAATTCAATATACATGAGATTTAGGAAGGCTTTTAACAGAACATCCTACGTTAAAAGTCTCCGAGGAGAATTATGCCTGCTCTTTACTCCGATATAATTGTGAGAAATAACTCAACATTCTGTGGAAACTGTCTAAAACCCAGCGTTATTCGCTTTTTGAATGTTCGGTGAAGTCTAAATTGGATTATGCGAAGCTTATTATTTAAATATTTTTAATTAGCAAAACCCGCAACGTCTCGCTGTATCTGTTGGTAAATATATGAGCTATACTTATTTATTTGAAACATCCAATATCGAATTTTGATAGTAATACAACATAAAGTTTACCTGAAATATCAAGAAAATTTGTTTAAAGGAATCGCGCAATCACCCGATCAGAAAAAGACGCGATAATCTTACATAAATCACACAAACAAAGCTACATATTTCACGACTATTATTTTAACATTTTTGTTGAGCATTGGTAGAAGCTGTGTGTAAAATTAGTTTTACGTATGACCATAAACTTCTAAATTGCTACTTTGAAACTAAAGTCAATGGAGTAGACGTGTTAGTTATTTTCATTTTCTCACATTTAAATTAAGAAAAAAATACTAAATAGGCTGTCAATGGTTTTTAGTGTTCTTAATGGTATTTTGAAAATAAGAATACAGATTTCTAAATTTATTTTTTGTAGTTGTTAGTTGTTACTCTGTAGTTCATCGTATGTTGTTACTGGTTCATAGATATTACTACGTAATTGCTGTCACGCACCTTAAAACATGAATTCAAAGTCTGGAGCGTATTGTATACTGGTTATTTGAACCATTGAATCCGACCACATAACTTCGCTAAGTAATTTAAAAAAACGAATATCTATTAAGCAAAAAATAAGGATCAAAATCCATTGAAACACAAAAAGCTGTACTGGAATATTCATCGATTTATATAAATACCGCTCCGAATGACATTTCCCTGCAATGAATTATAAAGCTGTAAGTTAAAGTTTAGACTTCATCATAAAATAAGGCATGCAAACAATCTAACAAAAGTCGTGAAGTCACTAAATCAAGCAACAATGAATATTTATGAAGTTCGCGAATTGTTTACTAAAGTAATATTTTTACATAAGTATTATCGGGAATTTTTTATGACAGGAACGGAAGACCTACATATTATGAAGGTCGGTAAATAATAAACAATTAAAAATTGTCCTTTATAGTAATTATTATTCTTTTAATTGTAGGATACGATAGCTTTTGAGTTACAATTACAAATAATTACATAAATGATTCACGTGTTGATTAATGCTGCTTTTTGTATAAATGAATTTACCATCGCACCTATTATGGTTGTGTATTTTTTACTGTCCTTGTAGGCAGACCAGCATACGGCCCAACTAATGGTGAGTGGTTACCGTGGCTCATGGATGTCAGCAATGCCAGGGGCAGAGCCAAGCTGGTGCCTACCCTTAAGTACTATGGAAATTTCATAGTACTCGAGAAACACCGTAGAGGGTAGCTCATTCCAAAGCCGGATGATACATGACACAAATATCTGGAAACGCACTGTGGATGAACGTAGGGGTTCCAGGTAGTATGGATGAACTCTACTCCGGTAGCGGGCGGTGCGATGGTAATGGATGCCGGATATTATTCTTTTTTTTTAATTATATTTATCATTCTAATGGAAACTCACCACATGCCCCTCAGGCCACATAAAATCTTCGTCCAGACAATCTGACTTGTACAGTGCCGGGTCCAGAACTCCAAGGTCCGCTGTATTAGCTGCAACAATAAAATTTATGTGCACTCCGAGTTATTATTCATTAATTGAATTTATTTTATTATGGATTTCTTTTATTTACACACGTCAGATTTGCTGCGCGCTTTCGCTCGTGTTGAAATTGTGATTGAGAGTGAACGAAACACGGTGCTTTCGCCCTATTTAAAGAATTGCTTTGTATCACTCAGTCTCTAGTCTTAAGGTATGCCTATTTCTGCCGTGAAGCAGTAATGCGTTTCGGTTTGAAGGGTAGGGCAGCCGTTGTAACTATACTGAGGCCTTAGGACTCATAACTCAATGTAAGTGGTGCATATACGTTATAGATGTCTATGGGCTCCAGTAACCACTTAACACCAGGTGGGCTGTGAGCTTGTCCACCCGTCTAAGCAATAAAAAAAGAAAAAAGTTGGTTTGTAGATCCGATGGTAAGGAAAATCATATACTATCTAAGACGCAGTCGTGTTTATCACGGCAAATATACGCAGCGTAACACGGATAATGTTATTTTCCATAATAAAAAAATTCCGTGCTATAATTTGGTATAATAAATTTCTTTGTCTGAAATTTCATCCGAATCCCTTTACCTATTTCAGCATGATTGATTTACAATAACTTATCACATCACATTTTCACATTTATAATATTAGTTTAGATAACATAAAAGTTCGTTTAAAAAGATGATTGGCGATAGCTACGACAGACAATAAATAATGCTTAAATTAGACGCAAATACGGCAAGGTCAAAGGGAAAAAATATCAATCCAAAAACATTTTCTTTTTCAATTTTCCTACCTAATACTCTGAAAGAGATTATGTTTAGGTAAAAGAAAACTGTTAAATATAATCTAGATCCGTGACCAAGAGTGTCAGTAAATAAATGACGAAGTTCCAAAGTAGGTAACAAAGTTTTCATACGTTACCTAATCTATCTCTTTGTTAGCCTTCATGTCATGACCTTATTTGTTAAGCTAATGCTTCAAGAATATGTTGTAACACATCACACGATTTATGTGGCCATATCGTGGTTGGAAAGAAAAATATTCCATAGCATTAATGTTTTGTGACACTCTTTCTTAGACATCAAATATCATCGCTTTTATCAGTCGAGTTTGTGGTTTCATGTTAAGGAATATGTAATATAACGTTCATTGATATGTTTAATATAATATTTTTTGTGAGTATGTCGATAGATTATATTGTAACCAGTAAAATAGTATTCAGAAAGAGAACTTACTATGTACAACATAATGTAATGTTTACAACGAATCATTAAGACTAAAATAACAGCATTTGAGTCGTATATTATCAAAGGTGGCAATCTGTGTATTTGGACAAAAAAATGTTATTGATATGGCGATACAGATTGATTTGAATATAATCGTCTCTTTCAAAGAATACGGTTCAAAACCTGCATTAAATAAAGTATTAACTTAACCTGTTATTTATCTAAGATGTCGTTCAGAAGAGTTTTGTGACTGCCAATGGAATACAAAGTCAATAATTCGTTTTTCTGATTTACCAATAATTGTCCAAAAGTCACATTGCCGGCTTTGATAATAGTCGACTCATTTTTTAAATGTATAAACCATATATTTATTTTGTACGATTATAACAAAATACCAATCCTACTAATATTATAAACGCGAAAGTTTGTAAGAACGTATGTTTGTTACTCTTCCACGCAAAAAATACTGAATGAATTTTTATGAAACTTAACAATAATATGCCTTACACATCAGATTCAGAATACATAGGCTATATTTATAAAGATATAGTGTGAATTACCCAAAATATAACGATAAATGTCAAATAAGTAGAAAAAATCTGCCTTCTGGGAGCTATTCTGGCGTGTGCTGCAAAAACCGTAGTAGTTACACGTATATAATATAAAATGGAAATGTTTATCTTAAATAGCTCTACAAAAAATCCCGCGACAGCATATTTCTGTTTTGTGTGTAAGCAATTATCCCCAAAATACAGAACCATGAATATAAGAAGAGGAAAGATTCGTTTTTTTTGTTTGTTAATGTCAGAACTAGTTTTTTTTTAATATTGCTTAGATGGATGGATGAGCTCACTGCCCACTTGGTGTTAAGTGGTTACTGGAGCCCATAGACATCTACAACGTAAATGCGCCACCCACCTTGAGATATAAGTTCTAAGGTCTCAAGTATAGTTACAACGGCTGCCCCACCCTTCAAACCGAAACGCATTACTGCTTCACGGCAGAAATAGGCAGGGTGGTGGTACCTACAAGCGCGGACTCTCAAGAGATCCTACCACCGGTAAAAGAAAAGAACATTTAAAAGAAAATTCAATAAGATCAATAATTAATTACAGCGGGTCGCTTTATATAAAAGTCAAACGACGCACTCTCAGAATATAAATACGTATTTTGAGAATACGTAAATTTTTACAAACAGTTTATATATCTAATGAAATTTCATTAATAAAAACACAACTAAAAAACAAAATTTATTAGAAAACAAGTTTAGTTTGAACTAATGTCTCTTGGGTCTGCCTGATAAGACTTCGACCATTTTTCGCGTCCACTAAGCTCCTTTGATATGTGTCGAATTGTCTCAGACCGTGTTTCGCGTAAAGTTCCAGCTTATACTTACGTTTTTTTTTATTCCTACCTACGTTCCGCAGGAACAATGGCTCTCCGACGGCTATCCTGCAGAATCGGGATTGAATAACCTGAAGGGGCATCAAGTTGGTGCGGGCCGCGTGAGCGAACACTACGCTTGCATACGCCATGACGGGGCGTATGCAAGTTTTGTAGAGATTTACCTTATTACGGAGGGACAGTTTGCTTTGCTTGCAAAGCATAGGGTACAGACAACCTAATATGAAGGCGGCACGGTCGCGTACCGTTTTAATATGGGAACGGAATGTCATCCCTCTGTCGAGGGTGACGGCTAGGTATTTGACCTGCGGGCCCCCGGGATGGGCTGGCCAAAGAGAGTGACGGGGCTAACGGCGGAGGTGTTAACGCGTCTGTTAGGGAGTGGGATGCTCGAAGTGGTTTTTTTTATGACTGAAGGATTACTTGTGGCCCGGAGGCCTTTCCAGTTTCACCAGGACAGGTGGGCGAGCAAAGGCTCAGCCAGGAGGGGTGGGATTTGCTAACAGCCACCAGAGCGCCTCCGAAGGAGACCTAACAACTCAAGAGTAGCTGCTTCGCGAATGAATCTACTACCGGATCGGAATCGCGACCCGCTGAGAAGATCCGGCGAGAAACTCAGCGAGCTGATTCATGGGTTAGGTTGCACGGCGAACTCTTTGTCGAGTTCGACGAGTACGGTTACCGAGGTCCCTAAGCCTGCTCCTAGAGCTGAAGGCGTCTAGTGCAAAGGTTATTGGATCTGATGGATCCGTAAGGACGTGTCTAGGGCGTCGACGGTGACTGGCTCCTGCATGATCAGGATTCGGGGAGTAGTCAGCGGCGGCTACGATAAGGCGATTATCATGACGCATAGCCTTATCGAAGTACCGTTCCGACGCTGACTTCATGTATTTCTGTATAGATTCGAGGCCCAGGTCGTCGTGTAGGTCAACGTTCCTCACGAACCACGGAGCTCCGACGGCTAACCTGCAAAAGCGGGATTGTAGAGATTGAAGGGTGTCTATGTGTGTGCGGGCCGCGTGAGCGAACACCACACTCGCGTAAGTCATGACGGGCCTTATGCAAGTTTTGTAAAGTGTCACCTTGTTCCGAAGGGACATTTTACTCCGCTTACAGATCATAGGGTAGCTCGAAGTGGTATTCGGAGGGCCACCCATACTTACGTGGGTCGCGACGCATGACAGTAAATGTGTAAGACTGCAGTCTAAGAATTTAAGACTTCATTGCGAATAGACTAAGCATAATGCAGTCACGTACAGAACGATAACAATAGCTTTATTTCGTCTTTAGTCGGCTATGATAAAGGTCAGCAAGAACTTTATCCAACATAACGACTGCCTTATGTGAAAGACGTGCATCGCTGTTGAGTTTCTGTTTGCAATTTACTAAATCGAAATCGTCCTCGTTTCCCGGATTTTACGTGCGTTTTTTTTTTCATTCGTGCCGCCATTATTTCGGCCTATTTTCTTAATGGCAACGTAAAAATAAAGCTATTCCCGGCTTACTAAGATTAATGTTGCAACCTCAGCGTCGCAGAAGCCCTAAAGAGACATAGTCAATTTGTTAAGGTACAATATGTTTATGTGAATGTTTTTTTTAAAACTTTCGCATGCAAATAACGTAAAGGTGCGTTGTTCGGCAAAAGAGAGAGAGAGAGACAGAGAGAGAGAGTATTCTTGATTGCACTCCAACAAAAGAAACAATGCGAAACATTAAATACAAAAAAGGTACAATTGGCGGTCTTATCACTAAGAGCGATCTCTTCCAGACAACCATCAGGTGGAAAAGAATCGTTTGGAATCTAATTACACGCGGTGTGCCAATCCATTGAAATACTAAAACTGTATGTTCTCCGAATAGACTGGTATACTACTATTGTCAAACAATATTTAGTGGTTATAGGACGTATTATGACCTGCACGAGCAAGTATAATTCCATCTACTTCTGCCACGAAGAAATCTTGATCCGTTTTGAAGAGTTTCATAGTCACTACTATAATTAAAATGTCGATTCAGATTATCATGAAAAGTGGCCGCATTCACGTTGAGATTCTATGAACTCCGACAGCCGTGGGCCGTCATTTCGTCTGCCTGTCTATAAAAATAAAACCAGTCTTTGCCTAAATGAAAATTAACACTAGCTCTCCGCCCGTACCATTACGTACTTTATATCGTGAGGGCAAAGACCTGTGCTATATTTTTCGTTATCTCGTTAATTCGTTATCTCTATTACTCTTCTTAATTTTTCAATTTCAATTTTTGATAAAATACTTTTCTTTAACATCCGTACATAATTCTTTTGTTTTATTATAATTATTACAGGCAATAGTAAATTTAAAAATTTTTTAGTATTAAAAAAAACTCTATACAAAA